CTCGAAAATTGGGTTAATCGAATTCGTTAAATTTAATATATGGGATATATGAGGAAAAGATCAACCAGAAGACCAAGATCTCCTAGTAGATAAATTTCATTCATATTCAGCGCTAAACCACATTATTTCAATAAAAATTATCCACTTAATTTCACTAAAATATCACATATTCAACGACATAAACACTTTAATGACAGATGGAAAGTCAAAATGGATAGAAATCAATATATCGCGTATATTCGAGCTAGTTAAAGATCTGCATTGATTGCATTAACTTTTGACATAACTCAGGTATATTTGGAACATGTTTTCATTTTAAGAAGACAATTCACAAATTGTGTAAATAGGGCCTACGGGTAGTATTACCCATTTTTATTAAATTTTGGCATTATAATTAGATTAATAAAACATCTTACATATTGACTAATCTGCATGGTATAATGTCAAGCGGATATTTGAAATTCATAATATTAAGTACATAGAATCAGGAGGGGTATGGGTGGATCCATTTTTGGCACAAGGATACACTGTTATTAGAAAAAGATTTTTTTTAAATTTCATTATGATATCTTACATATTGACTGAAAGATGCTGTATAAAGTCAACCAGATATTTAAAAACCCTTATATTAGGTATATGGAGTCTGGGGGAAGTATTGACTTTACCCATTTATAGAATGAAGATATATTATTACCAGAAAAAGATGCTCCTTGAGTTTTATCAAAATACCTCACATATTGACCGATATACAAGTATATGATATATAGGCAAGCGTAATTTTGACAATCCTTTAGTTAAGTACATACAAGGAACGCTCCAAAGTAAACAGGACTTAAAAAAAAAAACAGAACAAATGGTTTTATCGGCAAAATCAAATAAATTTTATTCAAAATAGTCTTCTTCTGCTTTAATACAGCTTTTTGCTGTAAAAAAAAGCATGTCAAACGAGTGGATTGTCTTCACTTTTGGCGCGATTTTTTACGTTTCGGCTCGTCCACATGTTCATCGTCATTTATGTCCTCACGATCACTTTGAAAACGTTGAAACCTCTCGTGCACTCTGCTACGGGATAGGCAATCATCGCCATAAACTTGTTTCATCAATTGAAACGTTTCGGTAAGAGTTTTACCAATTTTAAACCAAAATTTAATGTTGGCTCTTTGTTCGAAGCTCATTTTCTCACCGATGACAAAAAAATACTGACACTTAAAACGCAAGAACTTCACTTCCAATAGATGAAATGTTATGAAATTTTTACTGGAAGTAGATGGCGCCACTAGATTTTACTTTGTTACTTTTTACTGTTTACATTGGAACGCACCTTGTATATGGAGGCGATGTTTAATTTTTACACTGGCTCCTATGAAGGCTTTTCGTATCATCTAATTTGTGAAATTTAATGCTTGTGACTTATTTATTAGTGAGTTATTACACTTTAATTATTTTACAGCATAACCATTATATTGGTAATGGGCGTGTTTATAATCCGATTTCACCCATTTGCACATTGGTAGTTCAAGGTGGTGCCAAAAATATTTATCCTGAGTAAATTAGGTTAAAATGGCTATAACAGTTTTTAAAATATGTACATTAAACGTGTTTAAGCCGGGGAAATGTCCACTTTTTAATAATTTTCAGCCCACAACAAGTTGTAGCAAGTTTCAATTTTTACTCAAGTTATCGCTTTCACGGACAGATAGTCACTCGGATTCAACTCGTTTCGTCATCCTGATCATTTATACGAAGTTTGTTCAAAGAAAAAGGTGTATTTTGAATTGTTTTGAAAAGTACTTATTTATTCATCCATATCTATTTCATGCCCTTCAAAGTAATCCCCTTCGGATATAATACACTTGTGCCAACGTTTTTTTCAATCCTCGGAGCATTTCTGATATGAGAATTTTGGTATAGCCATCAGATCTTTCTTTCATTGGTTTCTTCAGTTTTGGAAATTAGGAAAAAGTCACAGGGAGCCAAATCTAATGAATATGGTGGTTGAGGCATGACTATGATTTTGTTTTTGACCTCCTGAGCGATACTATTGCGACATTGCTTTTGTTCAAAATTTAGCATTTTTGGAACAAACTTCGCCTAGACACGTTTCATGCCCAAAACATTCGAGAAAATTTAATGGCATGAACCGATTGATATGACAACATCCTCTGCCACTTCCCTAATAGTCATTCAAAAATTTTCGAGAACAATTTTTTTCACTGTTTCGATGTTTTCTTCGCTTGTTGACGTGGTCCCACCTCCGGGATGCTCATCGTCATCAACATTTTCTCGGCCTTCTGTAGAGCGCTTGTATCACTTATATAAGGTAGGAAGGTATCGCTTTTTTGTCTTTTGAATTTCGCGGCTATGTACAAAGCGCTACAGAGCTCGTATCTGGCAACACTATACATAATTTGAAAGGTCTTTACATAACCTACAAAACAACGCTATGCATGATTAGTTTGGATATTGCGTTCAACAGTTATAGACGTGTAAACATGGAGTTCACTAACGCCGAAATTCGCGCTATTTTAAAGTTTTCCTTCGTTAAAGGCAAATCCGCTAGAGAAACGTTCCGTGAGATTAATGGTGTTTTGGGGGATGGTACTCTATCACTTCGAACCGCGGAGGAATGGTTTCGACGATTCAGAGCCGGTGAAAACGACACCATGGATAATCCAGCCGGCGGAAGACCTGTGACGACAAATACCGATCAAATCATGGAATACATCGAGTTAGACCGGCATAAGGCATCTCGTGACATCGCCCAGGAGATGGGAGTTAGTCACCAAACCATTTTGAACCATCTGCAGAAGGCTGGATACAAAGAAAAGTTTGATGTTTGGGTGCCGCATAATTTGACGCAAAAATACCTTCTGAACCGAATCAACGCCTGCGATATGCTACTGAAACGGAACGAACTCATCCCATTCTTGAAGCGGATGGTGACTGGCGACGAAAAACGGATCACATACGACAATATCAAGCGAAAACGATCGTGGTCGAAGGCCGGTGAATCGTCCCAAACAGTGGCCAAGCCGGGATTGACGGCCAGGAAGGTTTTGCTGTGTGTTTGGTGGGATTGGAAGGGAATCATCCACTATGAGCTGCTCCCATATGGCCAGACGCTTAATTCTACCATCTACTGCGAACAACTGGACCGCTTGAAGCAGGTGATCGACCAGAAGCGTCCAGAATTGGCCAACAGGAAGGGTGTAGTGTTCCACCAGGACAACGCCAGACCACACACTTCGTTGATGACTCGTCAGAAGCTACGGGAGCTCGGATGGGAGGTTTTATCGCATCCACCATATAGCCCGGACGTAGCGCCAAGTGATTACCACCTGTTCCTGTCCATGGCGAATGCCCTTGGTGGTGTGAAGTTGAACTCAAAAGAGGCTTGTGAAAAGTGGCAGTCCGAATTCTTCGCAAATAAGGAGGGGGGCTTCTACGAGGAAGGTATTATGAAGTTGCCGTCTAGATGGAAACAGATCATCGAACAAAACGGCGCATATTTTAACTAAATCCGATCACTGTAACACTTTTTATAAAGCATTGACTAACCTTTTCTGTTGTCAAAAACAAAATACTAATTGAAATTGGCTCTTAATGCAAGTTCATGATAATATATGTGTCTGATTATAACAAAAACAAAATTTCGCTATCGAATGTACACAGTCCGCCGGTTTCCGTTGTTAGACGAGGTGTATATGGTATACATAACCCTTTATCTATCTCGATTAGTTTTAGGCCATACAAACAACCGATAGCTGAACAGAAGTATTGTAATAACATGTTGCGAGAATATAAAAACGTCTTATCCATCTTCATAGATTCTAGGGCGAATTTAAACTCATTTTCCGGCTTTGCTTATATGTGTTTAACCTTAAATTGTAGGCAGAATTCGATGAAATTTATTTTAAAATTCTATCAAGCTTAAAATATTTATTCGTATTTAGTTAATCAACTTTGCAACAGCGCAGAGCGCGGGGAGGCGGTAAATATTAAGCCTTCTTCAAAATTAAAGGTAGAAGATCCCATCGGTATTGTTCGGCTCGAAATTACAACAACAAGCGTTTTAAACAATATTTACTTACAACAAAACAACAATTCTTCTAAATATTTAGAATATAACTTAACCAGAAAATATACAAATTATCACTACTATTGTATAATAAACGATACAAAATATACAAGTATGAGAAACTGAAAGCACAGCGATGAAAGCCATTTAAAAATGTATGTTGGTATGCATTATATATTTAATCCTTCCTTATCATCCTTATTGCCTTTATTTACTCTCGTAACTAAAATTTATTCGCAACGCTCATTGAGAAATATTTCAGAGCTCATTTTTACACAAATTTTGTATCGATTAATTCATAGTTTGCTTTGATTTCTTCTGTTAGTAATTTTACTCAAAGTCGATTTTAGTATAAATAAGAAATGGATTAACTTCGATCAGTGATACAAACACAAACCAAATGTAACGGTACAATATCTATGGATGTGTGTTCGTATATTTACGAGTGTACGAAACTTTTTATACATGTAGGTGTATTTCCATTTTGTATTTAGATAGATCGGTAGCAAACACAGCAGAGAGCTTTTCAAAAGCAATTTAACTTTAAAGTAAAAATTTGTTTGTATTGAAATAATAAATAATATATTATTTTATGAAGGAATACACATAATTATGATTATTTCAGACGACTCTGCCGTGTTTACTTATTATGTGGTCATTACAGTATAATTGTGTGCTTATGCTATAGATAAAAATGCGGTAATAAGTAATAAAATACAAAAGCAAATAAACATGCGTGATATGTATGTATGTATGTATGCATGTATTTACATAAATAAATATGCAAGTGATATGTACAGTTGTGTATGTATAGTTATGTCTCAAGCAAAAAATCGGCTTCGTTGATGGAACATAGCGGTGCTAAACCGATTTGCACAACACCCGCACCGTCCTTATAACCAGAACTAAATCGCTTGCTTACCGTGCCGTGACCGTTCGATGTTGAGCCATTTGTAGGCGCAGGAGCTGTCTGCTGTGGTGGCCCGTCCACTAAATCGCCATCTATTTGGGCAGGCGTTTGAGTCTCTTTTTCTGGATTTTGCTGTGGTGCTGGAGAAAGGGTCTCGGTGCTGGGCGCTACTTGGCCAGTTTCTAAGTTTAGAAGGAGAGAAAAATTGGTTATTTTGTTCATCGTAACTGAGTAATCGTTTTCTGCGGATAACAATAACTTTAAGCATGTATAAAACATAATAAATATAAAAAAATCAGTAAACATGTTATAAAAGTGAAATAAAATATTTACTGTCTTGATTTTATGAAACAACAAAAAAGCTCTGACTATAAACTTCTACACTATTTTATGTATGTATGTAGTTCTCTTATTTGACTATGCAAGGTTGTGTTTTCGGTTTTCGAATTCTTCTTCTAATACTTTTGGCTACATTCCCTGCGACTTTTTCGTGCCCAATGATATGAATATCTATGACTGGTATACTCAAACCATTTTTCAAAATCAGTCATATTCAATAATACATTTTTCTTCTACTCAGTCAATTATCTCTCTCTCCCCTCTTTTTTTGTCCACTTTCATTTCTGGTGAAATTACACTGTGTTACTCTTAATCAATATTAGCTGTCTTCGATTTGCCAAGCGTTGGAGAGTAGTCAATCGAACCAACTCTAGGAAATGTTCAAACGAACAGGCAGCACTTGTGGTGTAATCTTGCGCTAGCATTCGCAATTACACTAAGATTCTTTCTTGGTTTAGAAATTCCTGTTTTCGTTTCAAAAAACGTTTTAGTAACACCTTAGTTTTTTTTTTTTATGAACTATTATAATTGATTTTGAGTCCTAAGTTTTTTAAATAAAAAAATTAAATTAAATTTGTACTTTCGTTTATCATCACATTTGTAAAACTGATGTAAAATATGCAAAACAAAACTTGGAAGCATTAAAGATAGCGGTTATACCACTTTAATGAGGTATGCGCATAGTGTCTTGTACGAATTCTACTCGATAAATTCGTTGTTGTTTTTACATGTAATTTTTATACCCTGAACGGGGTATATTAAGTTTGCCATGTTTGTTACACCCAAAAGGAAACGTCGGATACCCTACAATATATGTCCATAAATGGTCAGCATGTCCCATGTCCGTCTGTCTGTATATATACAAACTAGTCTCTCAGTTTTTAAGCTATCGATCTGAAATTTTGTACCTGTCTTTTTCTCTTTAAGAAGCTGCTCGTTTGACGGAACGTCCGATATCGGACCACTATAGCATATAGCTGCCATACAAACTGAACAATCGGAATCTAGTACTTGTATGGAAAACTTTTTTATTTGACGAGATATCTTCACGAAATTAGGCACGAGTTATTATTTAAAGCAACAATGTATTCTCCGCAGAAATAGTTCAGATCAGACCACTATAGCGTATAGCTGCCATAAAAACTGAACGATCGGAATCCAGTGCTCCTATGGAGCCTTTGTACTTGTGAAGGGTACTATAGCTTTGGTTGAACCGAAGTTAATATTTTTTTTTTGTATTTTTATATTTTAAAATTTTTGTTCGTTAATATATAATTGATAGCCGCTCACTCAATTATTAAAAAAATTATTATAACTTTGTTTAAGGATTAAATTAAGGGCTTTTATCAGTTACTAGCATTAAACAGCTTCCCTGGCCACTACAAGTTCATATATTTATAACACAACACAAAAGCATAAAAAAATGTCTGTGATAACTTGACGTAGATTTGTCAGACGAACGGAGAAGTGGAGAAACAGGCATAGGCAGACAAGCGTTTGAGATAGTGAGCTCTTTATATGCTACATCTCAGAATTTATATTTTTATCAAAAATATGCAAGTTTGCCGAAAGTTTTGTACATGCCTGCATTTTGCTTCGGCGTCGTTGCGTTGAGTTTATCTTGTTCCGCCGGTTCGATATTTTCATCTTTAGCTTTTGTGTCTTCTTTACCGTCGATCGGTTTTTCGTTGGGATTCTTATTTCCATTAGCATTGCTTTCGTGTTTTTTTTCGATTGCGTTGGTTGTTTTGTTCTCAAGTATGTTCTCAGCGTCTTTCTGACTAATCTCTTTTCCATGCACTTGTTTCTCAGGCTGGTCTGTCTCCATGGCTTCATCTAAGCTTTTGTCCACCTCTATTTTTGCGGTATCAGCGTTATCATCTTCATCCTCTTCATCGATTCGCGCGTCAATCTGACCCAGTGGTATGTCCCCGTTTTTCTTTGTGCTGCCATTCTCTTTAGCCGGCGTTACTGCGCCTGAAGCTGATGCAGCGCCAGCTGCGCTACCATTTTTCAAAATACCCACCAGCGGAGCTCCATTTCCCGACTTCTTTTCATCCTGTGGCAACTGCAAGTGCAAAATATATTAATTTCGGTTTAATTACAGTTTTTTGTCTTCGTCTCTGTTGGATTGCTACTCACCACTTTATAGGCATAAGACTGTGTACCCGCCACAGCTGGCGATTCATGCATTTTAGTCGCTTGCTCCTTGGACCATATGATATCCTCGTCAGTCTGCCGTTCGATGCGTTTCTTGTAGGCGCGATGACTACGGTATACCTCTATTAGGCAGCAAATGATTATGATCACAAAGAGCGACGTCAGCGTTATGAATACCACTTGCGTGGAGTCCTCCTTCTCCGATACGTCGTAACCGAATTTGGCAACATAAAGGACGCGTTGCGGTGGATCCTCAACCCAAGTCTCAACGCTCTGCAAAAGGTAATATGTTTTCATGAGTACCTAGACCTTTGGAAATATGCTACGCAATCAGACATTAGCAGGCTTTCACATATGCAAATCTACGCTTCAATTTACATACAACACGGCAAGGTAAGAACGGACCAGAGCAACTAAAACTAGCCACCACGGTCCATTACAATTATGCAATTTTGATAGCTTAGTGGGGTTATTGGCTTTTGTTTGTGTTATTGTCATTTTGAAAATCTCGTTAAATTGCCGTTACTGTTGCTTATGCTTCAATGACTGCTGTTCCTGAGGGGTGTCTACTTCCATTTCTCTTTTCACTGGCCATTACTTACCGAGCTCACGTTGACCATTGGTTCCTGTGATGGCTGCTCCGAAATATCGAATTTGGCTATACACTGTGCGCTGCGCAGACCCTGCGGGTGAATAACAGTTATGTTGTCGGCGCCTGACTTGGTGAAGAGCATGTATTCCTCCAGCGGTTTCATCACATAATTATTCACTTGTATGTAAATATCTGTTGGCGATAGAATATTGCATTAGTAAAACACACATACTCGTACATATGGGTTTATGTGATTATTACATAATCACATGCATTCATTGAAATCACCTGAGGAGGCAAGTCGTTTAATTAAAAGGGTAACATCAGTACTTATGTACAAATGCTATTTTACACTTAATTTACTGCTAGAAATCAATATTGCCATAATTTGGCTTATTATCGATTTCCGCCATATTTCAATAATTGTAATTTCTCTTCTCTCGCTAGGTTCCCTTGAGTAAAAAGTTTTTGTGAAATAACTAGATTAGCCAACATGAATTACTAAATCACAAATCGCATGATCTCATTACTGTTTGAGATAGGATGGATGGATCGAAAACAATTCTACAGAAAAAACAAGAAGTAAGGAAGGGCTAAGTTCGGGTATTACCGAACGTATACTTTCAGATGTTGGTAAATCTTCATTTAAAAAATATTGCAAAAGAATTTACTACTCTTTATTCGACAAAATCGTGAATGGACTACAATCAAATTTTGAATTTTAATAAGTGATATTATAGGTCATAGACTCACTATTTTACTTCAAGTCAGCTAAAGTTATATTAAAATTATCCTTAATTGAGAAATATGTGATATAAACTCAGCCCAAGTGGCTAAATTTAAGAGTATATTTCATTGATGTTGAAAACGTGGGGTCGGAATTTATTATATTAGGAATGTAAGGTTTGTAACAAGGTCTACACAAACTCCATTCATTCTTAGCGCTAAACCATTATATAATAATATAATTTCATTAAAATATTACACATTTTAAATAACCTATTTCTCGAGAACACAGTTTGAAGCACACTAACCGACATACGAGTATTTGGCATAATTCCAAATTGTACGTTCCGTAAATTCTGCAAAGATATTTTACACATTGACCGATATATACATATATGGGAGATAGGGATAGTATTGAACCCATTTTATATATATTTGGCATTACTAAATATTATCAACAAAAAAAAAAAAAGCTACCTAAGTTTTATTAAGGCATACCGGCACCAATACTCAAGGAGTAAGGTCAACCACATCTTTGAAAATCCTGAGATTAGTTATAAGAGGACTAGGGCAAGTTTTCATCCGATTTGATCTACTTTAGGCACAAAGGTTCACCGTTATTAGAAAAACACGCTCACTAAATTTGATTAAGATAACTCACATATTGGCCGATAAATGTAATATAAGGCCAGTCGGAAGTTCAAAAATCTTTAGATTAGAAATATGGGGGCTAAGGGAAGTACAAGTATTTACCCGATTCAACCCATTTTTGACATACAGTATGATATTATCAGGAAAGGATTCTCTCTAAATTGTATTGTATTATATGTTTCACACACTGACCGATAATTTCGGTAAAAAGTCTGCCATAGGCACAGAGGTCCACATTTTGGAGGCCACAGGAGGCTTGAGTTATGGCCCCATTTTGACAGTTTTTAGACTTGAGATGGCACGATATATTCATTGGTGCTTGATTTATATACTGGAAAGTGAAAGAATAAGATGTAATTTAAAGATGTGTTATGTGGGAAATAGGCGTGGTTATAGTCCGATTTCGCCCACTTCCACACTGTTACACGGAAATGTCAGGATAATATTATCTATCAAATTTAGTTGAAATTGGTCGAATGGGTTTTGATGTATGTGATTTCATCTAAATGTGTCTATTTTGATTAGTTTTGGGTGTTACAAACAACCGTTAGGTAAACAAAACTAATTTACTCTGTGACAACATGTTAAAAACTATAAAAATTAAATTTTTTAATAATTTTGCTTTATTGTTTCGCTTATTTTAGGGCTTTTGGTATATTTTCGTACATAAGCGACTGCGTCTTATGGAGACTACCCTACCGTTACAATTCCATTTCTAACTGTTCAATCCTATCTGCTATACAAGTATTTAGTATTACCAAACAAAAATAGAAATAGTCTGTTTATATCAAATCACATGACCTAGTAGCTCAATTGTAATGCTCATTTCTAAACATGATGCGAAAACCAAAAGTTCTTCCGAATTGAAGTGGGTAATAAAAAATGCGTCATTTTCAGTTTGAAGACAGCATTTGCCAATAATGCTTCCAGTGCTTTAATGCTTTAAATCTAAGTTTTTTTCAAGTTTTTTAAATTTTAAACGTTAGTATGAAAATTTGATTAAGAACTCTGAGAACCTTTGTCGTATGAATTTTGATCGAATCAAGAAAAGATAGGGGAGTTGTTTTTTAGATATGTCGTTTTTAAGAAGGAATAAAACGCATATACTTTAATTTATAATACAATTTATGACCAAGCATTCAGCTTTAATATAAAGATAAGGGTTAACCACTATGTTTTAAAAATTATTTCGAGGTAGTGACCGCCACGGCCGACTTGAATAATTTTTAGACGAGAGTCTGAATTTTCGACCACATTTTGCAGCAATCGGGGTCGTATGTCAGCAATAAAGCGACGCATATTTTTTTCCAAAGCGTCAATCGTTTCCGGCTTATCTACGTAAACAAGCGACTTCACATAACCCCACAAATACTAGTATAGATCATCGAAAGTTTCTTTCAATAAATCGAGTGCTTCGTTGGCTGTATATTGCGATCTTGTTACAACCAAAGGTCATCCACATCAACATCCTACAAATAAGGCACGAAAAAGTCATTAATTATGGCTCTATAGGGTTCCCCATTGACTGTTCTTGCACGAGTTGGATTTTGTAAGCCAGCCCCAATTGTTGCGCGCGATGGTGGATGGACTCTTTAGGGTCTTCTTCAATTCTTTGTTCCACAGCAGCAATTACGTCTTCGGAGCGCACTGATATGTGAGATAGTCTAATAAAATAACTTTGTGCCAACATTAATGGAATCATTATACATATATATCGAACTAGCTGTACCCGGCGTGCCCGGCTACGCCCCTTTTTATACTCTCAACATGTTGCTACATAGTATAATAGTTTTGTTATAACTATATAAACGATTAGGATAACGGGCGAGTTTAAATCCGGGGGACAGTCTGTCCGTCCTATTAAAATCCTCGTTTAATTATTTTTAAGAGCTACGTTACCAATTTCAACGAAATTGGGCTTATAATATTATTTTGACATACCCATATTACGGTGTGCGAATTAGGTCTACAACTACGCATACTTCTCATATAAAACAATTTTAAATTTCTGATTCTCTCACTTTATAGTATAGAAATAGCGAGCCAATAAAGATATCGGGTTAAAACTTTGCACAAATAGTACCGTTTAGATGTACCATCTCAAGTATAAAAATTGTCAAAATCCGGAAATTTACTGAATCGATTGTAATGTGATATGTGAGGGGTAAGGTAAATCAGCACCCTATCTTACCTATAACATAACGACTGTACATAGTAGTTATAGTGTACCATATAACGGTGCAGAAGACCAGAAAAGGGCGGGTGACATGTCCTACGTCTAATCATAGGGTAAAGTTTTGCTCAATATTTATCGAATCTAATTACAAAATCGACTTTGATTTTGCAAGAAAGGTAAGGACCTTCTACAGGAATAAATGAATAACTATGCATATTTTCATGTCTTTCTTACATATAAGACTAGAAGCCCCGAGCACGCGTTGCTATGACTAAGGTACAAGTGTATAATAAATTATATTATTATAAACTATTCAATATAGTAAATGCTTTTTATGAATAACGTCGAAAACATTATAGGCGGTACAGTACCATTGGAATACTTGTCAACATGACCATTTTTCCATTATTTTTTTCAGTCATAATGGTTGCTTTAATAAAATTTCCTGTAATCTCTTTTATTATCAAGCGTGTACCGTTGCATATTCGAGTTCGATTCAAAGTACTCTAAAGAATAATAGGTGAACAATTCTCATTTACCTCCACATAATTAGCGATTGATTTAAAATACATCAGATCACCAGGCAACAATAAATATCGTCAACATCTATGTTTGTGGCCGCTATTGTAGCCCGATTATTGAACATGTTATGATCCAAGTAATTCATTTTTATTTCCAGGAAAATACTCTTAATTAATAAATTTTTGTCGTGAACAACAGTACAGAAATGGTCAATCAAATCGTCATAACACTTGAATTAATAAAAGCGAAGAATAACCGATTTGTCGCCAGAATTTTAGTAATTTCATCGTTGCCATTTTAATCTTGCATTGTTATGTGCAATGCTTCGAGAATATTTGTGAGCCATTATGCACTCATCTCAAATTATGATTGAACTTGTTCTTAACACTGGAGCTATTCTAATAATTTTTTATGTTACACGAGATATACAGATTAAAACCTTCCATTATAGCATAATATTATAAATAAATAAAATATGGTAATACATTTATTAAACCAACTTTAAGAGTGATTAACATAGTAACATTTTCAATTCCAATATATTTTTCTGCTTCTTGTGCTGTTCTGATAGCGCTTCATTTTTATAATTCTATGACATTTTCATTGCAGTACGGTCAAAAGTTTACTTTCTCTAAAAGTTATTTGGTGTATTATTGTATTCACAATGGATGAAAATCCTCAAATTGGATAGTAATAGATAGATAGAGAACATACTTTTGTTCTATCATCAATAGTTTATTCAGAGCATGCGACCAAAGACGTTTAAGGGTACTTTTTTTACACCTTGGGTTACGTTAATTAACTCTTAAAAGCCTGATAACTCCGATTCATTAAAAATGTTGATATGTATTATAATTGTCGGTTACAAACAACATTTATTCTACGATTTTTCTTAAAAATGATTCTTTTATATTTTACAGGGTGTTTTGTTGGTTGGTTCTTTGAGGAAACACTAGGTGCTTATTTTATGTACATATATAATATATAACCAAAATCCATATTTTATGGAAATTACATTAAAATTATTAGTAAACTGATAGTTAGTATGGAAATTTAGAAAACAAATTTGATGTGACGATAAACATAGAGATATACTATATTTTATGCAATAAATTTG